TGTAATGTACTGTAATGTAATGCAATGCAATGCAATGCAATGCAATGTAATGTGATGTGATGTAATGTAATGTAACGTAATGTAATGTAATGTAATGTAATGTACTGTAATGTAATGTATAATGTAATGTAATGTAATGTATGCATGTATGTATGTACGTACGCAGGTATGTAGGCATGTATGTATGTATATACACACACACACATATATATATATATATATTTGTATATATATATATATGCACGTATGAACACCCGATCCAACCCATATGGACTCACAGCCTCAAGCCAGCACACAAACATAAGCAGACAGGCAAATACGTAGACAGCAAGAGAGAAGAAGGGCACACAGAAGAAGCACAGCGCATGCGTTTTCATTCAACAGAAATATCGAGGCAAGAACGCTTGTTCGGTCGGTAGTCAAGCAGGTAGGCAGGCACACTAGCTTGCAGACAGGCTGACAGATTCGCAGAGGAACAGAGCCTGCAACATACACGTGCACAACACACATGCACAAATACAGCAAAGAGACTCGCAGGCACTCAGCTGTCCGTGCCAGTGGGACCGCAAAGGCAGCTTGGAGTGCATGGTGCCATCATAAGCTGTCTCGCAGCAGGGGATCCAGCTGCACCAAGAGAGCTGGGAATGTTGTCTTCAGCAGCACAACTTCGACCATCAAAGCTTTCCATCAGGTTGTTGGCTGTTCTGTGGATGTGGATGTTGTGCTCACGTGATCTGAGTCCGCCATCTACTTCGCCCGTGAACGGCAGCAAACGGCGGAGTGCCACTGCTGCTTGTCAGGCAAGATTCCGCTCCGGTTTCTTTCTGTCGGTTTGAAGCCTGAGATGAACGGGGCGGGGCAGTTTTTGGGATCACCGCCTCAAGCCCTAAACCCGACTCCCGCGAATCCCACAAATCCCCAAACTCGAAACCCTGAGCCCTATGAGCCTCAAAGGGTGGGCCCTTGCCCCCAAATTAAACTGCAGCTCTTGCTTGCTTGGCGCCCGAGGTTGACAGTATCATGGGAAAGAGTCGGCAACGATGCATGAGCCCCTTGGCGAAATCAGGCTGCCCTTTGCCTTGGTCTTAACGGTTGACGACGGACGCACATCTTTTTCAGTATTCAGGCTCCGCTTCCTTCCTGTCGGGGATGAACCCCGATTATGTGGCTCTTGGCGAAGTTGGTGATCTCTCGTGCCTGAACTGCGCTAGACCACAAGGGCTTCTTCCAGGTTGGGGTCCTGTTTGGGCTTTTCGTGATAGTTACCAACCTGCTACTCATGCGGGCTTTTTTGGATCTTGAGGGGAATAGTTTGGAACGGCTCCCGTTGTACAAACTTCCATTTCCGCTGGGCCTTCAGGCAAATGATCCAGGGAACCGGCGATAACAAGGCGAGGGAGACCGCGGCCAAGCTTCAGGCAGAGCGGCGCATGAACAACAACTACAATGGTGCTTCTAGTCTTCGGGCGCATTCCAAGCCCAATGTTGCCTGAGGGAAGTGTTCAATTGTAAACGCTTCGCGTCTTCCGCCTCGGCCCGGCTGTACTTGAAGCAGGTGCACTGTTTCGGAAAGCAACAGGTAGGCCACACCCACGAGGTCTTTGGAGTGCATCGGTGCATTAGCATCAGAATGTTGTTTAATGTCAAGATTTAATGTCAAGATGTGTTCCCATGCTGAGGCTCTGAGCAATGATCCCATTCCAAAGGTGGCGCATTCCCTGCACAATTATCTCATAGATGTTTCTATAAACATCGTCAACATCGTATTACACTTCCACTGGTCTGGTAGACAACCTCCCATATGTTGGAAGGGGGATCAAGCTTTGCAACAAAGTACAAGACACCAGCCTCAGAATTCCGAGGCTTTGGCATCAACTTCACGAATGATGTAAGCTAGCCTGCCTTGCCTCGCCGCAAGGGAGGAAATCAAATTTTTAGGGAGGGGGTGGTTCAGAGGCCTGGTTGAGGGGGGGGGGTGTGTGTGAGCAAAACTGGGTCTATT